CTTACTGAGTTTTGGCAAGGCATCGAGGGCCGCATGACAGGCAGCCAGGGGCAGATAAATATTAACTATATGAATTTTTTAGGGGCCCCGTGGGCCAGATAGAATGGCCTGGCAGGCCGCATGCGGCCCACAGGTCGCATTTTTCCCACCCCTGCATTAACACATCCTGTGGATTTCAAATGTTCTTGTTTGTTTTTAATATTCTTCACTTCCTACAAATGAGCTGCTCAATTTTCAGGGTTTACCAGATTGCAGTTCCCTTTATGACACTTCACTGGTGCTTTCCTGAACTCAACCGTTACAGAACTAGGCCTCTTAAACTAGCATCCTTGGCTCTGAACAGATTGGAGTCCTGAGACAGAGGCTTCTCTTCATCCCCAAGGCAGCCACCTGCCTGCTTCCTGGAGTGGCCAGATAACAGAGTGGTCCCTTGTATAATTTTGAGCAGCCTAAAGACTGCTCTAAGCTGTCCTGACTTCAGCTGTTCCACACAAAGTGCTGCCCCACCCAGGACCTGTGTTCCACCTTATCCCCTACCTTTTTTACTCTTTTGCTGCCCAGATGAACCCTCATTGCAGAGACATGGTACATGGGAATTGTGCTGACCCTTTGTCACCGTTGGATTTCCACTAGAGATTCTTTGGGCTGACATCTAAGCAAGACCATGTTGATGGAGGGAGGGTCAAGAAGCTGCCCCTGTGATGCTGAGATTTCCTCTGAAAGGCTTAGTACACCACGCACAAATAAAAAAGGCTGTGCTAAGAGAAGGCAGCACTTCTGCCAAGAAGTAGTATCCATTTCTCCCATACAGCCTTTCTCCACTAAATCCTCTGGGCAGGTCACAAAATCAGAAAAGTAGGGTCAGAAGAGACCTTCAAAGGTCACCTAATCCAACCCCCTCCTCCCCACTACCAGAAGCAGGGTCATCCCTGTTCAAACTATCCTATACAGATCCTTGTCTAAGCTGTTAGTAAAACTATGGGGTCCATCCTTGACAACCACAAGGCATGAAACCCTAACCTGTTATAGGTAAGGCAGGGGGACAGCATCCCCCAAGTGCCCATATCTATGAAAAGCGAAGGAGAAGGAGGCAGCAAGCGTTGATGATCCATGATCAATTTAATCTGATAATTTGTTGTAGGTGAGCAAAACCCATGAAAGCAGAGCTGGCTGGCAAATGAGTCATGGTAATGTGGCACTTTTGTTGAAATGTTGACGTGTTTCAAACTTCTCCACCTAGTGTCACAGCAGAGCAACAAAGAAAAGTCCTGATACTGTGATGTGATCCATATAGGCAGACCTCAGCAGAGATCCACTGAAGTCAGCCAAAATCCACGTGGATATGAGAGGCTTTCCATTGCACAGAACTCACTGTAGGATAGAAGCCAAAGTTAATCCTGTTTGCCTGCTGCATGTATAACTTTGTATCACTCGGCAGGGAAATAAAACCGTTAAAGCACTGAGTTGTTTGGAATTTCTCCTCTGTGTTTGTTTTTAAATAAAATGTGGCCTGTTGGATGAGATTTGACACATTCATGGAAAAGATAAAACTTTTGGCTAATTGATTTTTTTTCTCTCAGTGTTTGTTTTATTTCTCTTTCCCTTCCCCTGCACTTTTTTCAAAAAAAGGGAAAAAAACGGGGATGTTTGTTGTTGTTTGGAAATTTCAATTTTTTGTTTTTGACCCTTAGGGGAAAAAGAAGAATCAGGGGGTTTACATGTTTTTATGTAGATTTTTTTTCCAGACTGAAACAAAATTGGCTGTATACGCAACCTGTAAAAGAGATGCTACAATTTGATAGTGACATTTCCAAATGATCTCTCATCAAAATATGGGGAATCACCATTGCTATCATTCTTGTCTTGATCTCTCAGATGAGCAATAAAAATAAAATATGAGGAGGAGGGTAATGATTAAAATAAAAAAGAATGGGATAGAGCAGCCTCTGTGTACAGCATATGGCAAATTGGGGAGGGAACAGGCAACACAGGAAGCAAAAAGCAAAGCAGCCAATCAGAAGGAGCACAGGCAAGGAAGCACAAAGCAGAGCAGCATATCAGGCAGAGAGCATAGATCTGAGAGCAGAAAGCAGAACAGTAGATCGGGAAGGGGATTGGAGTGGCACTTGGCGAGAGGACAGAGCTAATTAGCAGCACATCCATAAAAAATGTTGGCCCCCACTTGGCTGCGAGGTATTGATTAGGTTTGCTTCCCTTTACCCTTCTACCTCTTATCTGTTTTGTATATTTCCTGTTCCACCTATTAGGCACCTTATATGGGCTTAAGACACCCTGTAGGGCTCTGCTACAAGTTCAAATTAAAGCTGGATAGAAACCAGCTACAGAGTTGTTACACATTTTCAAGCACTAACTTTGAAGCTGGTTGGTTCTTTTTATAGCTGCATAGGCATGTTTATGGTGTTACAATTACTTTGCATTTATGGCTGATACCTATTTATTGCATGATTAACCAGTTAATCTTGTGATAATTACTTTGTAGCAGGTCTAAATTTACTGTGCACTTAACCTGTGAATTGCATAATATATGTAATGTGTAAGAGGGGCCTAAGTCAAAGAAAGGCAGTGAAGCAGAAGAAGACCCACCCACTTTTTATACAAACCACTTTTCATGTATTTAGCAGTGCAGAATAGGATCACACTTAGGCACTCAACAGCTGTAATAGGCTCTGACCCTTATAAGCCCTTTGGACTCAGAGATTGTCTCTCACGGTGGTTGTACAGACCCTGCCACCATAGGGCCCTGTTGAATGAAGCTTTGAGGAATGCTGTCACAGTGCAAAGAGTAACTACCCTAGGTTTCATCTTTTAAGAGTAAATGAGCACTACCAGAGATCAGACAAAATGTCCAATCCAACATTCTTAAATTCTCCCCTGAGTGGCAGTCATTTTTTCCTGGCTTGTATGGAGAAATATTACAGCCTGTTCAAAGCCCTTAATGAAAAATCACTGACACTAGTTATTATTTTGGAAACTCTGGTGCAGTAGGCACCATAGGAGAATAGAGACCTGGTCCTTCCAGACAGTGGCTGAGATGGAGTTCCCAACCCACAGGAGAGGAGTCAGGAGTCCAACACCCATTGAATGTTGCAGGCTCAATCCTATCCATATCTGACAAAACCACAACACTATCATCCTGCCACAATGCACCTTGGTGGTGCTGAGTATTTTCCAAGATCAAGGTCTTTGCTGTCCCAGTCCATGATCCTGGTTTTAAAGAGGATATAAAAATGCTCAAAGTTGTTTCCACATTACATATAAATAAAGTATCAATAATAAGTGAATCCCTTTTTTCAGTCATTCTCCCTCACCCCCACCCAGCCCTCTTCTAATACACCCTTTCCCTTCCTTGGCAGGTTTTGTTGTGGAGGGGCCTGCCATAAACCAGAGAAGGGGCCTTTCTTCCCCTGGGCTCTGGAATAACAACAAAGCCACTACTGCAGTTCTGGAGTGTCCATGGTCCTCCATCCTTGCTCTCCTCATTACAAGAGCTCTCCCTTTGCTCTCCCTCTGCTGGACAGGGGTGGGCTGGGAGTATCTAGAGACCTGGTCAGCAGGGCCTGTGGCCTCCTCCAGTTCTTCTTTCTGAATGCAGTTAAGCCACTTGGTTGGCTGTCTCCAACTGCCTAGAATAGGGTATGAATCACTGTAGCAATGTGCACCTGCATGGGATGAAAAAGTGTCACTTCCCCTACAGGTAGGCATTGTGAGGAAGCTCATTTCAACAGACCCCTAGGCCTTTGGCTTTTTAAGATGCCACAGCAACTTTCTTTGCAGAGGATGGGACTTCTTAGAAACCTACAGAGACTACACATCTTTTTACCCCAGCCAGTGATCTCAGGGCTCCACAGTACAGATTTGTTCATCAGAAGCTACACACATAGGTATGGTACCTCCACCCCAAACTGCCAGCTAAGTCAGGAGGGGAGGTGAAGTGTGAAGATGGAAATGAATGACCCCTAACGAGGCCTTGGGTTGGAAGGCCCCTCCTGCCAGTCATCTCCAAACATCTAAAGCATGTCAGGATCTATTCCTTTACCCCTGAAGCAACTGTGATAAAGGGGTTTCTCATCTCAGCTCCCAGGGCAATGATTCCACAGCCTCCCTCAACAGCTCCTTTCATCACTGAACTGTCCTTCTAGTTAGAAGTTTTTCTTCCTCCAATATTAAGCTTAATTTCCCCATGTCTCCCTCAAAGCCCATTACTGCTCATTCTGCCCTTTGGACTAATAAGAATAATTGGCCCCTCTACTCATTAGGGCATCCCTTTATGTAGCTAGAGATAATTATCAAGTCTCCCTTCTGCCTTCTTGTCTCTAGACTGAACGTGCTCCGTCTCCCTAACCTGTCCCTTAGGGCCTTGTTTTCCAAGTCTGTAGCCATTTTGCTTGATCACCTCTGACTCTCCTGCCAATTTATCTGTCTTTTCCTCCAGATGTGGTGCCTAACAAATGTTGAACAGGATACTCCAGTGGAGGCCTCACCAGCACTCAGCTAAGCTGATTACTCTGTTTATTTGACATGTAGCTGTTAAACCAAACTGGCGTAGCACTTGTGTTATATGGAGCTGCATGTCATCCCCATCACCTCTAGAGCCTTTCCTAGGACCCTGCTGCCTTTTGAGATTTTTTCACTCACCATTCCCTCCCCTTCTGGGGCTCTCAGTCTGTAATGTAGTGCCTGCTATGCATCTGTTCACCCATATATGATCTGTTGGCTTCCATGTGGCTTGGCTTAGGTTTACCTACACGAGTTTAACTTGAGGCAAGGGCCTTTATTCTGGCATTTGGGTGTGTCTTCCTTCACACACCTTGAGCCTGATTTTTGTGTCCTGTCACTGACCTATCATGTGACTCTTTATGGTCCTCCAGTTTCACAGCAGCTGTATATGTGATGGGCGAGTTTTCCACTGCATCTTCCAAGCTGTTAGTGCTGGACCAAAGTGCGAAGCCATTAGAGCTCATGGAAGAACCCAGACCTGACTGAACAATACCCATGAGTGGGCACAATTTTGCTTCATCTTGAACAAGAAAACATTCTCATGGAAGGATCCATAATCAAGAAGCTGATATGGATAGCTTCTTGATTATGGATCAAGCAAAGACTTTAAAATAGCAAAGACTTTAGCCAGTGACTTCACTATTACTGTTAGGTCCTTAGGAATCTTGTTAGCATCTGAGAAAGCCACAGATCAGCTCCTCAGCTGGTTTAAATGACACCTTTCTATTAGCTTCAATGGAGATACATACATTTTCAACAAGTCTCTTTTTCCCTAGTGCAGTTAAGCTATCAGTGCACATAACATATAAATATCATGCCAGAGCTTGGGGAAAATGGTGTTTCATTAGTGAGTACAGTAGGAGAGAAGGATCCAGCACACTGATAGAGCCAACTCCTTAATTTTCAATTTAACAGGATTTTGGCTCCCATGGAGAACTGTTATATCACAGTTTGAGAAAAAAATGTTCTTCTTATCCAAGGGGCTGGCAAAAGTATGCTTGCAGGCCTTTGGTCCCCCACGCTTGATCTAACTTGAACATGAACCTATGACCTTGTGAAGAAAGGAGACTGGCAACAGGGAGTGGAGTCTGGGCACATCTCTGCTGTTAAAGGCCCATTCCCCCATGAGCTGTGGAGTGATGTATGCTATATCTGTGCCACATGTGCTACACCCCCAAAGGATGAAACACAGCCACCTTACTGTAGCTCTGGGTCAGTGCTATAAGCTCTCAGTCTTGGGTGCACTAAGGCCAAATAGGTTTCAGCCTTTGACAGGGCGTAAGTGCCCACTGCATTCTCCTTGGATCGTGGTGCTTAGAGACATCAACCCAAGTCATGGTCCCAACAAAGTTGTTTTCACTAACCTGTTTGATTCCATCATGTTAGGAAAGAGATTCCTCTTCCTTCCTGGTGCCTGCTGGCAAATAAATCCTAAAATGCCTCAGTGCTTGAGACAAATCTGCCACATGCTTGCCAAACACCTCCATCCAACAAGATCCCTGTATACTTTGCAGCTTCTGTGACAGTCCAGCAGGTTCAAGACCCTTCTGTCCTATAGGGTGAAATCCAAAGAGTAACAAAGAGTTCCTGTAAAAGATGATTCACTGTTCCATCAGGACAGGTGGCCTGCATGTTCATACAATTGCACAGTGTATTTTAAGAGTTGAAAGAGGGCCCAACACATGCAATATACTTTCTGAATAAATCACCTAAGCAGCTATTAAAATGCAGCTGCTTCTGAAATGAAATGTGACAACAGTTTATCATAGAATTGTAGTGTTAGAAGGGCCCTCAGGAAGTCATCTAGTCCAACCCCCTGCTCAAGGCAGGATCATCCCTGACTAAACCATCCCAGCCCAGTGTCTGTCCAACCTGCTTTTAAAAAATGTCCAAGGGTGGAGATTATACAACATCTCTGGGTAGCCTGTTCCTATGCTTTATCACTCTCATAGTGAGAAAAGTTTTCCTAATCTCCAACCTAACTTTCCCTTGCTGCAATTTAATACCATTCATTGCTTCTTGTCCAGTCCCCTGTGGCCACAGACAA